GAGGATTAATTTATTATATAAGGGAATGGATTAACTAAAATGTTAAGTCCTATTTATATTCAAGTCGGGTCAGCTGAACAAGTTGAATGACTTATGGAGGATTAATTTATTATATAAAGGAATGGATTAACTAAAATGTTAAGTCCTACTTATATTCAAGTCAGGTTAGCTGAACAAGTTGAATGACTTATGGAGGATTAATTTATACTGGATATGATGGTTACTAAATTATATATATATAAGTATGGTGCCATGATATGAGCTTGAGTCTCAGAATCAGTGGTTAGGGCGCGTATATCGCCAGGGATGTGTAGCTAGATATAGTGTAGTTGTATACCCTGGTAGGTATAGGTACTCATGCCCACCATATGTGCGTTTTGCATGTTGCCTACTATTCAGGTTGAGACAACCCTATAGTCTAGTGAGGTTCCTTTAGTGTGTGTATATATATATATACGGACTACTAGTTACTGTTAGATTGACTAGGATGTTTACGTGTATCGGATCTCTGCTTGGACTGTAGTAGAGTAGAACTTGTTTGTGGGCCTGACCCACCATTATTTTTCAGGTGTTCGTCAGGAGTAGAGGTTATTCGTGCTGAATGAGGATCAGTCTACTTCATTCTTCCGATGCTACATAGGAGTTCCTTTATGATTCAGTTTCCTGATTTAGACAGTTATTACTGTCATTTGTTTAGTTTTGATTTTCTAGGGGTCCACACAGTATGGATTCTCGAGTTGTATTTTGGAGTATTTTGGAGAATCAGTTGTATCAGAAGAGTTTATCAACTAATGGAAATATATTCTGAGGTTTATTATTAAATTATCATTTTAGTTTCTTGTCAGCATTTTATTTATTCTTCTTTATTCTTTTGTACTTTGTGTTCGTTTATTATCAATTTATTTTGATATCCTCGGGTATTCGGGCGTGGGCCTGGCCAACTTGCATTCGGAAATCCGGGGGTATCACAGGTTTCTCTCTAAAAATCCTAGTGTCATCTCTAACTTTTACTTTACTTATTTTATCTGCATGTGATTAATTATTTAATTACTAAAATAAGGAAAGCTAAAAAAACACAAGATCTATTTTTAAAAAAACAAAACTTCTAAACATTCCGTTACGTACAACTCACAATTCCGGCTACCCTTGGGTTGCCTTCACTGCTCTTTGCTGCTCTGGTCTAGCCTACGAGACAGTCTCATTCCTTCTCTTTCTTGGTTTAGCCTTCTTGGCAAAATCCCTTTCTTTCTTTCCTTTGCATTTTGTCTCTCTAAAACTCTCTGTATGCTCTTTGCCTCTCTCTATACGTGAATAGGGTTTATGTAACCCCTTCCTAGACTTATACTAGATATATATATATATATATATATATAGGCTATAATATAACCTAATCCTACTTCTAATCCAAGTCTGCCATCCTAAGGAAAAAGAAAATAAATAGAAAAGGAAAATACATTTATATAAGCTATATCTTGTAGATACATACATATATAAATATATATATTTGAGCTTAATATATATATATGTATGTATATATAACAACCGACTATCCAAAACATAATAATATTAGTACTACTAATAATAATAATATTACTAATAATAATACTATCCTTATATAATATATATATATATATATATATATATATATATATATATATATATATATTCTAAGATCCATGGATAACTATCCATACCTATCAAGACTTCTATCCAAGTAGTCCATGTAACCTATTTGGTTGGTCCATTACTACTATCCAAATCCAACTCCTTTCAAAATAAAATAACAATAAAATAAAATAAAACAAAACATTTAATCCTAACAAATAATTTCACATCATTTAAGCAAGCAATTTCATACAAACAATTAATTAACTTACATAATTTAAACATCTAAATAATTTAAACAAATAATTCAAGTTAAACATAAACAATTAGCCACATAATCAAATAATCAATTAAAAATGCAATAAAATAAATAAATAAATAAATCCCAATTACATCCTTTGAAAAGTTGGGGTATTTTAGCTAGCTAGTGTTCTAAATGGTAAACAAACGGTAGGCTTGTGCCATTTGGAGTTAGAGGCCAGTGTATATTTGTGTAGTGGTATGGATTGGTTGAGAAAATGTTATTGTGTGTAGGATGAGATCATGTGATTGGTTCGGGGTGGATTCATGGCATAAACATTGATTGCATTGTTAGTTTTGCGGTGGACTTGTGTGTGTGAAAGTGACTATGTTGATGCTTATACGTTTTTACTAATGCCATGTATTATTGATTCTGTTATACCCCTGCAATAGTATGATCCTCTTACCTTGCTCTCCCTTTTCTATATGTGTTTATTCATGGGGCTTTAAGAACCATACCTTAGGCATACTCTACTGAGCAGTAGTGTTCATCCTTTTATTTTAAACATTTTCAGGACTTGGAAGCGAAATGGTGGATGGAGTATCTTTACAAGCTTAGGCGTATAGAATCTATTTTCGTCACCTTTTGCAACCGATGCCATATTTGTAAAGTTTTGGGCTTAAACATATATCATTTTGTAAAACATTTCTACAAAATTGTAAATTTATTGCATTAACAATGTACCTATCAACATAGTGGGGGCTTATAGAGGGTGTTATGTCGGGGGTGTGCCATTTTTCCAATTTTTATATTTTTTTTCTTCTCCGATCTTGTATCATACATATCTTCTTCATTTTAAATTCAAATGGGGTAATTCTTGAGTCTAAATTGAAGGATTTTGAGACCTCTTTCCATTAGTACCAACCACATTTCATAATTATGACTCAAAATGACCGTTTTACCCTTGTAAATCCTAGGGGTCTGGTGTGAACCTATTAGAGTTATCTTCTTTTATGAATCAATGTGATTAGGAACGACTTGTATGATTTCATTATGACTCTAGTAAGGTGCATATTGACCATAGTACCCTTAAATGTACTCAGGTTCGGATAAGGAACCGGTTAGCGATTCAGACTCTCGGATTCGAGTCATTACAAATATTTTTCCCATATATGGTTGTCCCTATATTTATTATACTTATCGTGATTCGAATTAGTTGTGAATTTAAAGTTTTTTGGAGATTACAGTTATCTTTTTAAACAACTATTTGGATGAGATTTCCATCCTTGTATCCAACTTTTTGTTCAAGTCCTTATAATTTTTTGTAAATTCAAACTTAAAAAAATATCATTGGTTAGTCAAATAGTTATTTTTCCTATCATATGTTATCGCAGGTGACTTTAATCTGCTCATGAAGTAAGCAGACATCTAAGCAACCAGACCACCCACTATAAGTGAGAAATTTGGCTTCAATGGCTCCTCGATGTAATCACAAATGACATTAATATGTAAATCATTAATATAACTCTTTGCTTCTAAAAATAAAAAAGGAAAAATTATATTTTAGTGACCAAAATTAAACATAATTGCTATACAGCGACCTTAAAGTCAAGAAAAGGTGAATAGTGACCAATCTTGAAACTTAATTGATATTAAGTGATCATTTAAGGATAATTAGGTCAAAAACACTTAGAAGTTTAATAAATATTTTAAAAATAAATTTTAGATGACAAAATTGCCATCCAATATAAATAATAAGTCATTAAATTCATCCTCCTTCTACTCTGTTTCTCTCTAATCCAACGTTTTCTTTTTTTCCTTTTTAGTTTATAATTTACCAATTTAAAAAATTAAGATTTCTTTATCAGCATTATCTTTTTTTCACCATTTAGCTATTTTTCAAGGCTCTCAACCATCTAATATTTTCCTTTTTACTTTACAATTTACCAATTTAAAAAATTAAAATTTCTTTATCAACATTATCTCTTTTCCATCCTTTATTTATTTTTCAAGGCTCTCCAGTATGAACGCTTTACAGTGGCAAATCATACTTTTGAAACACCCTTTAACAGTTAGTAAAATTATGAAATTAATCAACAATAGTCATTATTTCTTGAACTATAACTAAGTAGTATTAAAAATTCCTAAAAATTACAATCTTATATCTGAAGGAAGATCTCTCAGACAAATCAACTCGTAAAGTATAATAACTATACCTTGAAAATAATGAATAAGAAGAAAATTTACAATTTTCTCGACATGTCTCTTAGAATCTTGAAGAAAATGATGTATAATATCCATCATCAGTTCTCTCTCATCTTGATCTTCTCTTTAGAGACTCACCTTAACAATCTGTCGTCTTTTTGTTAGTCAATTTAAGTAAGTGTTTATTTAGATTAATGTAGAGGGTAAATTTGTCTACTTACATAATAATATATTATAAGAAGGCTATTTAGGTAATAAACCATCAAATGGTCACTTAATATCAATTAAGTTTCAAAATTGGTCACTATTCAACTTTTCTTTACTTTAAGGTCACTATATAGCAATTATATTTAATTTTGGTCACCAAAATATAATTTTCCCTAAAAAAAATAAAAAATTCACATTCCTAAAATGATTAAAACAACACTAATTGAAGACAAAAAGACATAACTAATTAAAATTGTTTGGTCATGTGCAACTGACAGTCCATAATTGTTGACATAAAAATAATAATACATGATTTAAATGGGATTACAACTTTTTTAAAATAATTTTTTAATTTTTTAATTTTTTTACCAGACCTTTCAGTCTTCCACAGAACCGAAAGACAGAACAAAAAAAAAAAAAAAAAACAGAATGAAATCTTTTCCTCACAAAACAGTCGTTACCTCCCTTTATGCGCTTTAGAACAGAGTATATGCATTGCACGTATATGACATTGACCCAACATCATTGATGAAAAGGGTGTTTATCTAAATCGTAAAGTCGTTGCCTTGTTTGAATCTCCATTTCCCTACAAAGAGAGAGAGAGAGAGAGAGATGGGGGGTTATTGACTGGCTGATCCATCTACACGGCTATTTGACTTGGACCAAGGTTTGTCTGCAATTAAAAACCAGAATTTCTCTAGCTTTTCCATACCATGACTTGGTCATTCATTCATATGCATACATACATCCATACATACATAATTCTATACCACTATTCAGCAATGTAAAACCATATATAATATATGTGAAATATATATCATATTGATATAACTCAGAGAGAGCGTAGTCAATGGTCATGGTCAAGAAAAGTATTGAATAAAATAGAAGCAAATAGATGAAAGGGGTGAGTCTGAATAAGATCAATACAAAGCAGAACTTGCTTTGAAGGCCATTGATCATCAACCAAATTATGCCCCTATCTGTCTCTGATTAACATCCAAGCTCCAAAGAGAAACACAAAGTGTAGTAACCAAATAGAGATTCATATGGGGATTTGCTTTGCTTCTCTTTCTAGGACCCAAAGCCCTAACACTACTGGCAACCTTAGTTCAGGTACCCCAACAATCATATTTCATTATTTATTTTATTTTTTCTGGTTTTCCTGTACCAATTCTCCATTAATTTTGCCATTTTCTAACAATTCCTTAATTGTTTTTTATTTTTATTTTTTTATTTTATTTTTGGGTAATATTACACTAATATGAATAATTCTGATGAGAAGTTTAATTTTCTAAAGAATTTCTTTAAGAGCTGATAAATTTCATTTTATATCACATTAGTTCATCTATTCTCTGTATGGTAGTACAAACAAGTTCTGTCTTTGATTTCAATAATTGTAATTTTTTGGGGGAATCAGGCCACAGTAAAAACAACATTGGATTGATTTTCTCAATTAAGAATCTGGGTTTTACTTTACTTTTTCAGAATTCTCTTAATAGCTGCTAAATTTCATTTTCTATGACATTAGTTCATCTATTCTCGGTATGGCAGGACAGTCTGTCTTCGATTTCAATTTTTGTACTTTTGGGGGGAATCAGGCCACAGAACAAATAACATTGGATTGATTTTCTCAATTAACAATCTGGGTTTTGCTTTACTTTTTGGAATTGTCTTAATAGCTGCTGAATTTCATGTCATTTTTATAGCATGTTTTGTATAATCTCTATTGGGTTGCTCATTTCCTGACTTCTTGTTTTCTGGGACCATGATTATATATTGCATCAGGAATATCACAGACAACCAGTAACACAATATCTTCAGGAGGCACAACATCTTCAGGTGGCACCAACCTGTCCACTGCCAGCGAGTTCTCGGCTGCAAGTGGCAACGATGAGACTTTTCCGGGTGGGCAGATCTTGCCCACCCCCAACTTGAGGATATTCACTTTTGCGGAATTGAAGATTGCAACCAGAAATTTCAGAGCAGATACAGTTTTGGGAGAAGGTGGTTTCGGGAAAGTTTACAAGGGTTGGCTCGATGACAAGGTTACACCTAGGAATGGTAGTGGAATGACTGTTGCGGTCAAGAAGTTGAATTCTGAAAGCATGCAAGGCTTTGAAGAGTGGCAGGTAATTCTCAGGACCATTCATTTTATTTATTTTATTTTATTTTATTTTATTTTATTGGCATTCAATTTGTGTTTTGCCTCTTTTTAGCTTTACACTTAAGTTTTTTTTTTTTTTTTTGGCTCAAGAAACAAATTACTAATATGAATTTGATTACCTCGCAATATTTGTTTTGTCAGCTGCAAATGGTTGCAGGGTTGGGTAGGTTTAGAGGACTGGATATGCCTTTTGTTATTTCTATATATGGCGTAAGGCTCTTTCTTAATGGACATGGATGCCTTTCTTTGTTCAGAAACCTAAAACATTGCTGGTTATGGTGTGCAAGGGTTTTTGCCTCCTGCCCCACCCACCTACACACACAAAAATAAATAAATAAACGATAGGCACCACATACCTAATTTCATGGAAGTTTATTATTATTATTATTATTATTATTAATATCTTGGTGGATGTTGAGGGAGGGGGGAATGATTTGGCCATCTTTTATTATTATTATTATTTTATTTAAAAACACTCATTTGCACATATATTAAATTTAAATTCTGAGGTGCTGTATTCTTTGTCTTCTAGCTTCTTCTTAGTTTAATTTCCCTTTCCTTGCTTTTCTTCATTGTCCACATTCTTATAATCAATGATAGTTGAGATGTATTTACATATAGCTCTGAATTGCCTTCCTATCTACAAGAGAATAGTTTAAGAATCTTCTAAATGGTATAATAAAGAAATTGTTTTTGTATCAAAGTTCCTATTTGGAAAACAAAAGTGCTTTTAAAGTCTATTTTATATCCGTAGTTACTTTGATTTGAACTTTTTGACACTAATACCAAACGAAATGATTTAAATGTTATGTTTCTTATTTATTACAATATTGTAGCCACAGGATTATATAGATAAGGTATTTTGGAGTTGAATAACCATACTTCTGCTCTTTTGTGAAGAATGTCACAAAAACTGGGAACATAAAAGGGGAGAAAACAAAAAAACTCTTGACTTCCGGTCTGCAAAACTGAAGCCATAAGCACATTCTGATTTTAACTGTGAAGACAAAGCTGTAGCCAGGCCCCTGCTCTCCTACTGTTCAGTTAGAGAAATTAAAATGAAAAGGAAAAAAAAATTATTCAATCACGAACCACATAAATTAGACTAAATTTCTAGGTAAATGGCTGAAAGATGTTACGATGCAGTTTTCAGATGGGGTCGTTCTATTGGAGTTGTGGGTATAATCTTCAGGTTTAATTGACCTAGTTAGTTGGTCCTGTCATATTCAAAAAAAAAAAAAAATTAAAATAGACTTAGAGTTGATATAAGTACAAAAACTTCTGCTGCAACTTTTTACACACTTGTGGTAGGTTTAACTATGTGTAATTGATAATCTTCTAAAGTTTTGGATATTATTTATTACTCTCTTCCCCTATAATATTTGGGAAAACTAGTTACTTGTTTAACCATTGCATTTTATATAATTGCAGTTCTAAAAGTTCTTCAGAATGTCATTTGCTTATTTGTTTTTTCATTTATACGTGCAGTCTGAGGTGAATTTCCTTGGAAGGCTTTATCATCCTAACCTTGTTAAGTTGTTGGGATATTGTTGGGAGGATAAAGAGCTACTTCTTGTTTACGAGTTCATGCAAAAGGGCAGCTTGGAGAATCACCTTTTCGGAAGTACGGCTTTAACATATAATATTAATATTATAATAAATGTTGTAGCATTAGCAAATGTTGATACACTTTTGTCTTCTATAAATCAATTAAGTTCATATAATTGGTTCACTAAACACCACATGCTTTGACTTGCAGGGGGCTCAGCTGTTCAGCCACTTCCATGGGAAATAAGGCTTAAAATTTTATTAGGAGCAGCTCGAGGGCTGGCATTCTTGCACACATCGGAGAAACAAGTAATTTATAGAGATTTCAAGGCCTCAAACATATTGCTTGATGGGGTAAGTCCTTCAATTGATAAATTACTACCATGACATGATATAAAGGACCGTGAACTATTTGATGGTCGAGTATTTTGCCTTTTTCTTCTTATCCCCCTGATAATGTGGCAATCTTCACTCAAATTTGTGCCATTGAACTCCCCCCTTCCCCTATAAAACCCATACCTATTTCAGGCCGCCAAATTATGGTGGTGAAAGGAAGGTTGAATTAACGGGTGACAGAAACACATTGCTCAACTAGAAGATTCTATTAGAGGAAGCATGAAATCAACTTGATCTAACATATATATTTTGTTGTCTTTTCCAGTCTTATAATGCAAAAATATCGGACTTTGGCCTGGCAAAAATGGGTCCCTCAGCTAGTCAGTCACATGTTACAACACGGGTTATGGGAACATATGGCTACGCTGCACCCGAGTATGTTGCCACAGGTAACCCCCAAAATTTTTAAGCTTTGGTGCTCGAGGCAAAATTTTTATCAAATCAAGCTTCTGAAAATTTGCTTGTTTCAAAGCAACTTGAGCTATACCTACCTAATTTCATGATATGCTATGATACTAATGTAATTCTTTTTGAAACAGGACATTTATATGTGAAGAGCGACGTGTATGGTTTTGGTGTCGTTTTGGTTGAGATGCTGACAGGTTTACGAGCACTTGACACAAACCGTCCGAGTGGGCAACATAATCTGGTTGACTGGATTAAACCATATTTATATGACAGAAGAAAGTTAAAGAACATAGTGGACTTGCGGTTGGAAGGAAAGTATCCTTCCAAAGCTGCAGTACAGGTTGCTCAGCTTTCTCTAAGTTGTCTTGGACCTGAACCCAAAACCAGGCCATCAATGAAAGAAGTTGTGGAAAGACTCGAACGGATTGAAGCTGTCAATGAAAGGCCAAGGGAGCGTAGAATTAATACACATCGCACAGCTTATCAACATGGCCAACAGCCTTTACATCATCGTTCTCCACATCACCCCAGGCAAAATGGAAATGGAAACTATCAACATTCACTGCGAGCGTAACAACTTGGATTCTACCACTTACTGTGAACAAACAAGAGGTCTTTCCACACGTGTACACTGATTCTTACATTGAACAAGTCTCTATTTTTTCTGTTGTTTGATCTCCTGGAAGTGTTGCAAACTGAGTTGTTAAACTGCTGAGCTGTGTTACATAGATGAGAATGTCAATGATATTGACTGTAATTATTTTGGTTGGTCTATTCAGTTCTGTTTGATATTATTTTAAACATAAATCATTATTTATTCATGGGAGTAATTTTATCAGTAATGATAGAACTCTCACATGGTTGTAGATTTTAAATACTCAGATTAATGAAGAATACTATGGTAGTTGTGATGATTGAAATCATTCATAGAGTTGCACTCTTCTCTCTGTGTGCGCGCGCACACTCGGGCACGTGTTTGTGTTTGTGTTTGTGTTTGTGTTAGCCTGACAGGCATACTCCAAATAGTTGGGGTAAACCTTTGTTGAGCTAAGTTGTATTTACTCAAGGTATGGCACATGAACTTGCTGATGATGGACCTTCAACAAACAGATTTTGGTGAGAGGACTGTTGTGCATAAAAATAATAATAATAATAAAATAAAATAAAAATGTTCTATCATTACTGATAAAATTACTCAACTTTTCCTTTTAAAATGCCACCCCAGCCCTCTCCTTTTTTTCAAAATAAAAACAATGTCTTTTGCAGGTTTGTTTCAAGTTTCAACTAATAAGAGCAAGGCATGTTAAAGCTGAATCATTGCAATTTTTTTAGGTCTCTTTCAACTATGAGGAACACATGTAAACAATATCTCTCTTTTTAATTTTTTAAATAATGCTTGTGTTTCTACTTTATGTTATTAATCTATGGCCAACCAAATTAGGTTCTTTCTTTGAAAGCAAAAGAAGATATAAAGAAGCAGGTTCCTTTAACTCTTTTATGTGTCCATTAATTTCTTACCACGTGGACCTAGCAACCAACTCATGCCTAATGATTATTATTTTTTATGGTTGATAAATAAATTGAGCCCAACACATATACATATAAAGACACTCACCCTTTTGGCATGTTTGCAGGTATCTAAAGGTTTGTAAGCAAGCACTTGTCCTCCTATTCACTACACATGGGACCATTGGTCCTTGTGCTTTCAGTTTCTTTCTTCAGGCTTCTCTATTTATAGCATTATCTGTGCTATATATCATCATAATGGCAATGCTCTAGTTACATTGCTTTTATTTCATGTGAATTCAGAGGGTCAGGCTTTATTTCCTCAGGTTTTGGTAACGCTTTTCATCTTTATTGACACTTCTTTTATATTTATCTAATTAGTTATTTTTTCTTCAAAAATTTGGATGTTGTTCAACCTCATCACTTAAATTTCCATATATGTTCAACTTCAAGTAGTGTCTATTTCTAGATAGGCTAACCTGAAGTCATCTCTCTAGATATATCTTTCTATCTGTACTGTTTTTTTTTCCCTTCATTAATGAAAACCTTGTATGTTACTCTTTATGTGATGCCTAATAATTTATTACATCTGCATCAATATTGTTTAGAGAGAAGGTGATAATCATAAGATGTTTTTGATACGCATATATAAACAAAAAAGACTATAGTTTTATTTTATGTGGCTCTCTCCAGGATGGGGCTACTTGATTATGATAACTTTTATCCGACTTCTTTTTTTCCTGTTGATGCCTAATTGTAGATATGGCTGTTTTATGAGAACTCCCGTTCAAGAACCAGTTAGTCGTGTCATCGTGCTCTCCGTCTTGCTAAGCTTATCCAATGAATTAATGACACATCCTAATTGAGTTCTGTTTTTTTTTTTTTTTTTTGGTCCTTCAGAAAAATGTTACAGAAACAATAATTTCATACAAAACTTCATTTAGATTAATGAAACAGAGGCATGCATTAAATTAACAGAAACACAGACGGTGCTGTATTTTGTGGTGAGAGGAACACTTCATATGAGAAATTCTGTACCAAAATTATGTTTGATTGCATAAGATTACTTTGTTTCTTAATGGTTTGAAGTTTGAACTAATTAATTTTGGTTGTGCACATGAATAGTTTGTGTGGTTCAACAATGGAAAAAAGTGGTGGTGATATCAAAATAAACTCGATTTCAGAGAAGCTTGGCATTTTCATGCGAAAATGCATTTATTCTGTTTTATCTGTTGGTCCCATCCCCAATCACATTGCCTTCATCATGGATGGGAACCGTAGATATGCAAAGGGGAGGAATATGGGTGAAGGTGCAGGGCACAATGTCGGGTTCTTGGCTCTCATGTCTGTGCTCAGGTTCTGCTATGAGTTGGGCGTGAAGTACGTAACAGTCTATGCCTTCAGCATTGATAATTTCAAGAGACGACCTGAAGAAGTGGAGACCCTGATGGACTTGATGCTGGAAAAGATTGAAGGGTTGATGAAGGAAGAGAGTTTTGTCAACCGCTATGGGGTGAGGGTTCATTTTGCTGGAAATCTAATGCTATTGAGTGAACCTGTCCGGGAGGCAGCCAAGAAAGCAATGGAGGCCACTGCCGCCAACTCCAAAGCAGTGCTCTCTATCTGTGTTGCCTATACATCTACCGACGAGATAGCAAATGCTGTTCAACAATCATGTAAAGAAAAATATGAGAAAAGAGCTGGTCATGGTTCAAATGGACTTGGAGGGAATGAAGAGTACTATTACCATGGTCAGAACAGTATCAAAGTAGTGGACATCGACAAGCACATGTATATGGCGGTTGCACCTGATCCAGACATCTTAATCCGAACCTCTGGTGAGACGCGCCTCAGCAACTTTCTTCTATGGCAAAGTGCATATTCCTATATATATTCTCCTTCTGCGCTTTGGCCAGAGATTGGTTTTCGTCACCTGGTTTGGGCAATCCTGAATTTTCAAAGTAACCACTTTTATCTTGAGAAGAAAAAGAAGCAAAATTAGAGGAGATCCTCTTGCTGGAGACCTAGTTATGATATATCCTTCTTGTCTACAGTATGATCGTGTCGTTTCAATACATACTTCTCCTATTCTTGAACTGAAGTTGTTTCATGTGTCCCTGCATTTACAGCATATGTGCTGACAAAATAAATTGACAATTAGTGTCAATCAGGTACCAATATATATTGTAATACAATTAGTGTCAATCAGGTACCAATATATATTGTAATACAATTAGTGTCAATCAGGTACCAATATATATTGTAATACTTGTTTTAAATGTTAAACTGGTGGCACAAACACATTGACATATGAAATCATTATGTGAAGTTTATAATATGTTATTGGCTTATTTTTATGGCTTGGTAATGGATGGTTTGCTCTCAACTAAAATGTACGTCTTCTTGATATTCTCCCGTGTGAAGTGGCAGTTTTCTTGAACATTGTTAGGCGATTCACTGTACGAAGATGCAGTAATTGAGTTCTATGGTCCGAAGAAATGCACATTGTATCTGTGACGAAGGTTGTTCTTTTACCCTTTTGGATAAGACTAATCCTTCAAGGCACAAGTATGTGGCAGTCAAACTTGGGACGTTGGCTTTGTAAACATAGTCCTTGAGGCCAATTCTTCTATACCCCTTGGGGGTTTAATGTACAATTTTTTTTGTTCGCCCCCCATAGAAAGGCATGGCTGTAAATGTACGGACTCATAATAATTAAAAAGGTAAAGGACCACCTTGATCAATCAACATTAAAAACATCTGTTTTTGCAGTACGATGAAATGTGGAAAAGCAAGCCCTAGCTCCCTCCACATGTGAAGCAAATAAATTGACTTACCTAAAAAAAGAAGCAACAATGTCTTATTTTTTCTTCATGGATGGTTGATCCATGACAAACATAATATTGTACGTAACACTGTCTTTCTTGTAGGATTGATGTTCTTGAATCTTGATTTTAGTGGTACAATCTTTCCTGTGATATGCAATAAGGTGATGGATGCTCTTTCTCCACGCTAACACTTTATGCAGAAGCCATGAAATTCTTATCCTACAATTTGGTATATGTGCATGCTTTGTACTTTTATGTAGTGTTTGGGAATAACACATTTGAATTGAATCATGAAAAAATTATTTATTTTAAACCACTCAACCCATTGAGATTGTTATCACAAACTATTACAAAACTACAACTAAAACATTTATCACCGGAGTAATGCTATTTAGGCATATTTGTGTGGTGTAGGTGCAAAAATTTGTTAACTTTGAAGAGTCAAAGAATAAACACAACACACTCAATGAAAAATAATCAAAGCAATGTGTTTGGCTTGTGAAAAATCGTGGTCCTTTCCAAGTGTGGAAAGGAAGTTGTGGACGTGCCAGGAACTGTAGTCGTTCCAAAGTGAAGCTCCAAACAATATTTTAGTTGGAAGTTGTCGGGATCAGGCGATTGTATGAAGGACTAGAATGACCACCTTCAAAGATTCTTTTTGCCTTGAAAAAGGACTTCTGGATTGTTTTATGACTAGTGGAAAAAAAGACAGTATTGAAAGTGCAGGACTTTAGAATAAAACAACTAAAGTGTAATTGCTGAAATGTAAGAAAGGAAGTGCAGGACTTGTAATTGAAAGTATCGAAAACTACTTGCTGGAAAGTAGGAAAAGAAAGTACTGACCTTAACTTAAACATTATGAGAATTCATTGCTAGAATGAATGCTACATGGAATAGCAAAGTGCTAGACATAAATTAAAAATAATGTAAATTCATTGCTGGAATGAGAGAGATATGAAATTGAATAGCAAAGATACTATATTGATGTGTGGTGTGCGCTGAGCAGGGTTTGCATTCTAGGCCTAAGTGCTTTATTTATAGAGCTTCTCATGCAGCAGTTGGAAATGTGACACTTCCAACAACTTCCACTTGGCTGGTCTTCAGATTGCCAAGTGTCCCACGATCTTCCAGCCTTCTCACAGTGTTGACACGTGTAAAATCATATTCTCCCATGATCTACAACTTATAAATAATGGTCTTGGCGGTTGAATGCATGTTTGGAAGCCTTTACCCACGTTCTGGAACTGCCCAGATGGAAAGGCAACAATTCCAACAGTAGTTGGAAACTTTCACCTAGAAGGTCTGGATTGTGCCATGTCTCCCATGTCTTCCTTAATCTTCTCATAGTATTGACACTTGTAAGAACATGATGTCCCTTGAATTGCAGTTTTGAAGGAGTGGTTTTAGTTGTTGAATGCTTGTTGCAAGCCTTTACCCACGTTCTGGAACTGCCCAGATGAAAGGCAGCAGTTCCAACAGCAATTGAAAACTTCAACCTGGAAGGTCCGGATCTTGCCACGTGTCCTACATTTTCCTCAGCTTTCTTTGGTAAATGCTTCATATTTTCAGCCCACTTGCTGATTTTTAGCAATCTCCTCACCTAAATAAGGGAAGTGGCTGCCTTCTAGAGTTGACACATCACTTGGTAGAGTGGATATAGTCAACTTTGGCACAAACTTTCCTTATATGGCAACCACATACACCATTTTTGCTAGGATTATGCTGTAGAGACCAGTTCCTTTTTCTCATTTGTATGGATTTTATTTTTTCATTATTTTATTTTTAGAGTTCGGATTTTGTCGGACCTGATTGAGCCAGTGCTCAGGAATAGTTCCCGACACTTCTTTCATTTTATATTTGTATTGTCCTTATTTTTATTTTCGCCTTCCTTTATTTGGGGTTACTTTTGTGATTATGTTTGAGGACATTTTCAATTATTGGGGGTCTTCAAAAGCTCTTAAAGTCTTCTTTTTAGGTATTTGCATTTGATCTTCAAAAGCTCTTAAAGTCTTCTTTTTGGAGAGTACACCTGAAAATAGACAAAAACACAAAAATAAAGATAATCTATATATAAAGACCAAATAATGGACTTAACTAATGCAATTAAGAGCGCTTGAATATACAATATTCGGCACTTATCAGGTCACAAAGAGTGTTTTAATGGGTAAAGATAGAATCTTTGGATGGAAATACCTCAATCAAGGTACCTTTCAAGTCACTTAAACTTTGTAATGTATAAAGATTGAATCTTTGAAAGAAAAAGATATAATGTTTTACTGAATAAAGATTAAATTTTTGAATGAAAATACCTAAACAAGGTACCTTTTAAGTCACTTAACCTTTTTAATGTATAAAGATTGAATCTTTGAAAGAAAAAAAGAGATTTGAGTTAAATTTAACAATTTATTTTCTCTCAAAGATTCAATCTTTATACATTAAAAAGGTCAAGTGACTTAAAATGTACCTTAATTGAGTTATTTTTATTCAAAGATTCAATCCGTACTCATTAAAACACTTTTCGTCACTTCAAAGGGAACTCGAATAAGTTTAACTCAAAACTTTCATTTTCTTTCAAAGATTCAATCTTTATACATTAAAAAGATCTAGTGACTTAAAAGGTACTTGATTGAGGTATTTTCATTCAAAGATTCAATCTTTACACATTAAAGCACTCTTTGTGACTTCAAAGGAAACACGAATTAGTTTAAATAAAAACACTTATTTCTTTCAAAGATTCAATACTTATATATTAAAAAGGCCAACTGACTTAAAATGTATCGTGATTGAGGTATTTTCATTCAAAGATTCAATCTTTACTCTTTAAAACACTCTTGTGACTTCAATAAGAACTCTAATAAACTTAACTTAAAACTCTCTTTTCTTTCAAAGATTCAATCTTTATACATTAAAAAGGTCGATCTAGTGACTTAAAAGGTACCTTGATCGAGGTATTTCCATCAAAAGATTCAATCTTTACTCATTTAAACACTCTTCATGACCCTAAAGGGAACACGAATAAGTTTAACTCAAAACTCTCATTTTCTCTCAAAGATTCAATCTTTATACATTAAAAAGGTCTAGTGACTTAAAATGTACCTTGATTGAGGTATTTTTATTCAAAGATTCAATTCTTACTCATTAAAACACTTTTCGTCACTTCAAAGGGAACTCGAATAAGTTTAACTCAAAACTTCTATTTTCTTTCAAAGATTCAATATTTATACATTAAAAAGATAAAATGTACCTTGATTGAGGTATTTTCATTTCAAGATTCAATCTTTACTCCATAAAACACTATTCGTGATTAAAAAGATACTCGAATAAGTTTAACTTAAAACTCTCATTTTCTTTCTAAGATTCAGTCTTTATACATTAAAAAGGTATAGTGACTTAAAAGGTACCTTGATTGAGATATTTTCATTCAAAGATTCAATCTTTACACATTAAAACACTGTTTGTAACTTCAAAGGGAACTCGAATAAGTTTAACTTAAAACTCTCATTTTATTTCAAAGATTCAATCTTTATACATGAAAAAGGTCTAGTGACTTAAAAGGTACCTTGATTGAGGTATTTTCATTCAAAGATTCAATCTTTACACATTAAAACATTCTTTGTGACATCAAAGGAGACTCAAATTAGTTTAACTAAAAACTCTCATTTTCTTTCAAAAATTCAATACTTAGACATTTAAAAGGTCTAGTGACTTAAAACGAACCTTGATTAAGATATTTTCAATCAAAGATTCAATCTTTACTCATTAAAATACTCTTCATGACCTCTAAGGGAACTCAAATAAGTTTAACTCAAAACTTTCAGTTTCTTTCTAAGATTCAATCTTTATACATTAGAAAAGTGTAATGACTTTAAAGAGAACTAGAATATGGTTAACTTAAAGCTCTCTTTTTCTTTCAAAGATTCAATCTTTATAGATTAAAAGATCTAGTGACTTAAAAGGTAACTTGATTGAGGTATTTTCATTCAAAGATTCAACCTTTTCTCTTTAAAACACTCTTTGTGACTTCAAAGGGAAGTCGAACAAGTTTAACTCAAAACCATCATTTTCTTTCAAAGATTCAATCTTTATACATTAAAAAGCTCTAGTGACTTAAAAGGTATCTTGATTGAGTTATTTTTATTCAAAATTTCAATCTTTACTTATTGAAACACTCTTTGTTACTTAAAAGGAAACTCGAATAAATTTAACTCAAAACTCTAATTTTCTTTCAAAGATTTAAATCTTTATACATTGAAAACGTTAAGTGACTTAAAAGGTACCTTGATTTAGGTATTTTCATTCAAAAATTCAATCTTTACTCAGTAAAACATTTTATCTTTTTCTTTCAAAGATTCAATCTTTATACATTAAAAAGGTTAAGTGACTTAAAAGGTACCTTGGTTGAGGTATTTCCATCCAAAGATTTTATCTTTACTCATTAAAACACTCCTTATGACCCCAAAGGGAACTTGAATAAGTTGATTGGATGTAAAGCCCCAAAGGGTCCACGATTTATTTTGTTATTG